ACTAGTAACCAAAACAGCATGGTACTAGTACAATGACAGGCGCATAGACCAATGGAACAGAATTGAGAACCCAAAAATGGACCCATTTATCTATGGTCAACTGAAATTCAACAAGGAAATCAAACCTATCAAATGGGTTCACCTCTTCAACAAATAGTGTTGGCAAAACTGGACTTTCACCTGCAGAAAGCTGAAACAGGATCTACATCTCACACCATACACAAAAATAAAATCAAGGTGGATCAGAGACCTCGGAATAAAGCCCAAAACCATAAAGGTCATAAAATACAAACTGGGACCAAGCTTAGAAGGCCTAATTTATGGTATAAAGGGACTGCGAATACAGCCAGAAATACCCAGTCTGAACAGGATAAAACTGATGAGTGGGACCTTCCAAAGATTAAATCTCTGTGTTCATAAAAAACTTTTTCCAACAGGATGATAAGAAAACCTACTGACTGGGAAGAAACATTTGCAATACTGTCTCAGACAAGGGTCTTAACAAAAGTTTACAGAATCCTACAGGGCCTCCAGAAGAAAGACACTTATAACCCAAATACAAAATGGGCAAAAGACATTTAAAGACTTTTCATAAAGGAGGACATATGAATGGCCAAAAGACACATGAAGAAATGCTCCAAATCACTGGCAATAAGAGAGATGCAAATCAAAACCACAATGAGATACCATTTTACCCCAGTAGTAGTGGAAAAGGTTAGCAGGGCAAGTAATAAATGTTGGAGAGGATGTGGCAATATAGGAACTCATTCCCCCCCCACCCCAAGAAATGAACAAGCCTTAATTGCATGGTCTGAGAGGAATGCCAAGTGACCAGAAGCAGAGAAAGACAGAATGATGCACTGCAATTAGAGGCAGTTTCTTTTTATAGGGGTCTTGGGGAGGGCTAGGGAAGATGGTACCTCTCAAAATTTGGGGCAGTTAAGTGAGATAGGAACTCATATTCTTGTTGGGATTGTAAAATGGTACAACCACTCTGGAAGGTAGTTTGGCATTTCCTCAAAAAGCTGGACATAGAAATTCTATTGTTGTTGATTGCCTTCGAGTCGAGCATGACTCATAGCAACCCTATGAACAAAAGGCGTGAAGCCCCTCTACAACTATCAACGTTTATCAAAGTTCATAGGGTTTTCAGAGGCATGTTATTTAGGAAATATATGACACAGCTATTCCACTGCTTGGAATATACCCTGAGAAAATGATAACTGAGGCACAGAGACTTGTACACCTATGTTCATAGCAGCATTATCATTATTCAGCATAGCAAGAACATGGAAACAGCCCTAATGCCCAACCATAATGGAATGGATTGAGAAAGTACAGTGCAGTCACACAATGGAATACTATATGGCACACAGGAGCAATGATTTTGTAAAGTACTACCTAACATGGGAGGGACTGGAAAGCATTATGCTAAGTGAACTAACTCAGTTTCATAAAGACAAATACTGTACAGGACCATTATTGTAGAGTGTGGATGAGGACCAAAGGAGGAATGCAGCGAGTGTGTGTGGGGAGCTTAAATAAAGGGTGACACAATTTTATAGGTAGAGGGAGGCATTGGGAAAGGGAAAGGGAAAGGGAAAGTCTGGTGTGAAAAAAAAATGTATATGTACTTTATGAACTTTGGATGTAAACCAATATAAATGAAATTTAAAAAGAAAATGTGCAGGCAGTTGAAAATACAGAATTTGGCTTCGGAAAACAGGACAGAATTGTAGGGTCATTGTAAAAGACTTAAGTTTATATGAAGTCAACCAAAGAAATAGGAGAAGTGAGAAGAAAGGAAGGGTAATATGAGACTCTTGTGACCCTAAAACCTACATGGACAATGGTAGATGTGTCAAGGAAGGATTGCAGGAAGGCAGCTAACAGTAGTCATACTCTCTCATGGCTGTAGACTTGTGACACTCTCAAAGTCTCACAGTAAGTCAGCTTGGGAAGACCAGGCCTGTTCTTGAAAACAATGTATTTGAATTTTGTAAATAAAGTAGTAGGAGGAAAAAAACCACAAAACCCTAAGGCTATGGGGGGAAAATGTCAGCATGCAGGGGGTACATGTTAGTCCTTATTTTCTCTTTCTGCTCATTTGAAAATCATTAACACATTATCTCTTAATTTATGAAAGAAAAGTAGATACAATAATATATTTTATAGGTAGATATCTAGAGGAAACAAAACCCAAAAATCTAACTGTTTAGGGTATGTCTGTCTGTTGTCGTTGTTGTGTACCATCGAGTTGGAACTGATACATAGCTGACCCTCCAACAGTTTTCAGAGGCAGTTAATGGCATGGGAGAAAATTGCCCATCTTTCTCCGGTGGTGTCTTTCTTTATGTCCCTTCTAATGTTTGCCTAGTCTTTCTTTTATTCATCAGTCGTGTGTCTGTCTAGGCCTTCTTTTAATGGCCAATTGTGTATATATTGTTCGTGTGTGTGTGTGTGTGTGTGTGTGTTTATACAACTGAATATATTTGAATAACTGAATAGATATTACACACACACACACACACACACACACACACAACTGACCAATAAATGAACATGGTTGACCAAACAACTCCAACATCCTTTCTATCCCTGTATATCTCTGCCCAAAATTACCGAGATTGTCAGGTTCAACTCCTCCAAATGTTTTAATCACTAAAGTTTGAGTACTTTGGGCTGTACCAAGGATTAGGTATGTACTCTAACCACAAGTCATTGCAACAACTTTGTTTAGAGGCCATCTGATTAGGATTTGCAAGTGAGGAAACTTGGTGTTTAGGGTTGCCCTGCTACTAATATCAGTGCCCAGAATGTATGTCATGTTCATCTGACTCTGATGCCATAAACTTCCCACTTTGCAATTCTTTAAAGAAAATCCAATAGAATACAAATTAAACAAAAAGAGAGGGCCAAATAGGGACATACATATACATTTGATGTTTCCTGAGACTTCAGTAATATCAACACCAAGAAATACACAAGAACACAATCATAAAAACCAAAACAAAATTATACTATATGTTAAATCAATATCTTGGAAGTGTGGTTTATTATCTTGCAATAGAGTTGAATAATTGGTTAACTTTTCCCCCCCCCTAATAATACCTACACCTGGGCAGTGTAAGCCTAATAAAAATGTTTTCTTTATCCGGAAAGATTTCTTGATGTTTTGTTCCCCTACAAAAAAACCTCAGTGATAGGACCTCGGAAATGACTGACAGACATGATGTAAAAGAGCAGTTCTTGGGCATGTTGTCAGGAGTTACCTGTCCTTCGAAAAAGACATCATGCTGGGAAAGGTGGAGGGTTCAGAGGAAGAGAAGAAAACCTCAGCAAGCTGGATTGACACAGTGACTGTAACAATGGACTCGATCGTATTAGAGATCGGAAGGATGGCACAGGTGAGGGCAAGGTCAGATCTGTTGTTCATAGGGCCACTATGAGTCATAGTAGACTCAATGACTGCTAACAACATATTTAGATTCATATCTGACAAAAAGGTGGTTCCACGGGGTTTATGGGAAATTGCATCCTTTCGCTGTCTATGCCATAGTCAACATGGATTCACTGAGTCCTTTTTCATGAATATGGCGTAGAGTGAGGGCTGACCTCAGTGAATAATCTTTCCTTGATAGAGGAAACATATCATGAAGCCTGATAACCCTAGTAGCATCTGATCTCTTGGTCTATTGCAGCTGAATACTGAAGAACAGCATGAGACACAAAAACTGTTCATGAGCAAGCTGACTGAAGTGGAAAAGGGAGAAATTAGAAAAGCCGATTCTAACCACAGGCCAATAGAAAAGGAGGATATTGACGAGAGAGAGATCTGCTGAGCTTAGGAGGACATCTCTAATCACAAAGTGCCGGTGCAAACATCTTACTGACCTGAGAAAAATAACCATCCATAGACTTCCATATCCCATTGCCACTTGGCCTGTGATGGTCCTAATGTTCTCTTCCTCTATAAGAAGAGTTGGTGTCCAGGGAGACCTCACGGAAGCATTTGCCTAATACCAACTAGAGAGACATAATCTTAATTTTTATTTTCTGATCAATAACCTCAAAAGGCAAATGAGAAGAAGTAAGGCTTTCAAGATAGCCCCAAATGTATGAAACTTCTTTAAATAGGCGTGTGGGAAAAGTAAATCTTTATAAATTGTGTATACTGCACTGAAACAGATGAGGGACTGAATAATTTAAAAGCGATGTATGATAGGGTATTATGGTTATCACAAGAGTCCACAATTAAGGTTGCATAGTGGAATGTACTTGGGGCGGTGGGAGGGGTGCGGGGGGGGATTGTGTACCAGGGAGGAAGTCTTTCTTTTACTTTTCAAAGAGAGGAGTGAACTGGGTGGTGGGGGGAGAGGGCTGGGCGGGGAGAGAAGTGCAGCAATGAATGAATGGAAATCCAAATTATCTGTAAATGTTCATTAAAATGATTAAAAAAATTTCAACTTTACTAAAGTTAATATATTACTGGTAACACACCTCACAAATGTCAGTGAATTGCACTATGAAAATGAGAATTCTTATGCTAGTGACAAGAAAAAGAAATCTTTTAAAGTGTAACATTGTAAAAATTTAACTTTTTTCATTTAAATACACGTTATTTACACTTTCTGTCATACTCCAATGTATCATAAAGATGAGTAATCTATGCTTTCTCTTCTAAAATTGTTTCTTTTGTATTTAGCAAAATTAGACAAGAACCAGTAATCATTGTTCCCTCTTAAACTGATTTACTTAACTCAGGCATATCTGAGATTCTGGATTAAATTTTCTCTAAAGTCAACTCGACTCTGGTTATGTGAGTATTGTAGAAATTTATACACACAAAAAATCACGCTAACCTTATGTAACTGCATAAATGCTATGGAAATAGTAATGAAAATACACCTAATATTTTATGATGTGCTTCTACCGGTCTTTATCTCCTGACACTGGGCAGAATTTTCTTAATCGTAGTGATAAATACACAAATTACTCACCACTCACTCTTGCTAACACTTTGGATTTCTGGCTTTGGTGGTGGGACATGGTGCCCTTCACATCATTGTCCAGTCTAGAATGCATAGTCACTATAGACTATTGACAGCCATGGATCGTGACGAAGCCTTGTCATCCTGGGAGCTGCCTAGAGCATACATACACATTACCTAAGGCAGAAGTCAGAAGCTCTACTGTGGTCTCTCCATAAGTTCTTTTCCTAAGGTGGCCGTTTATTAGAGATACCTCTGGGTAGGTCCTTTGAGAGTCTCCATCTAATCTCGCTGTTAACAGCTATTCTGGGATGTCTCAAAGTGCAAACACAACTCAGGGCAAATGAATAGAAACTGTCATAACAAAGATCATTTAATTATCTCTTAGACTAATTAAGTTTTTGGCAAACAATTTTTCCCAAATGAGATTATCATCTTCTTATCTCTTTTACGACATTCATAAATAATCTTAGTGCTAGATTACTATTAGGAAATCACAGGTAGTTGAAGGAAACCTATAAAATTGGCTTCCCCGCTCCCCTACCTCCACCCTATCCTTTTTTGTGAGAGAAGGGGCCAGGGTTGGTGCACACTTGGTTGGATTCCGTGAGGCATTGAGGGTTCTCTTCATTTCACCTAGAGATCCTGCTTTCAGGTCCTGCGATTGTCCCCCACGTGGTTAAGGCACTGTTTGCTCTGGAGTTCTAAAGTGGAAAATAGTAGAGTTCTGCAGCACATTGGTGCCAAGATAGCTGCAGGCTTGAAAGTCATGTATAATTTTTTTCAGTGCATTTTTCAATAATCATTACATTTCTACAAAAACACTGGATACCTCAGAGTTAGACTGTCATCAAATAACATTATTTTCAATGATCCTTTGGTTTGAAGCCCTGCCCCTCTTTGTTTATATAGAAAGTCACATTGACACTCTCCAGCTTAGTTTGAAAAAAAAACCCAAACCTACCTAAAATAGAGGTGATTCTTAAGTAACAAGTAAATATACTGTTGCCTTGGAGATTTGGGGCCAGCCACTGTGCCAAGTGTCACTGTCATTTTTCTCCAAATGCTGTCATTGCCCGTATGCCTTTATGCTTCCTCTAGTGGAGGCCGTCAACTCTTCAATCTCAGCATTTAGTTTGTGTATCACTCATCCGTGGCTTCTCGAACTTAACTTGCTTTTAAAGAGATAGCGCTTGTCAACAAGCTTTCCAGGCAGGTGCTGAGGCTGACACACTTCACGGAGACGACGGCTTCCTCAGTGAGAATCATTTCCCTGGGTCCTGAAGATGGTGCTTGTAGATGAGCTTCTCAACCACCTAAGCCAAGTTTGTAAAGGAAATATTAGTGGATTTCAGTTCTATCGTTTTCTCTACAGGATCAACTACAGAATGCTCCTACATGTAGGTCTCAGTTGGTGCTGCTCAGAGGCCCAGATCTTCATGGTGTTGGCAACCTGTGGAACAGCCTAGTGGTGCTAATCATGTGTATTCTATGGCACTAAAACAAAGACAAACATCAGACAGTGTCAAGAATTAACCTTCCAAACTACAACAATCCCATTAGCAACTTGCATTTCTTTTTATTATCTACCTACATGTGAAGGAAATGGTGTTTATTAAGTGAAGGAAATGGTGTTTATTAAGAGACCTTAAATTACTAGCCATTCAAGAAATGCAAATCACATTGAGATACTACTTCACAGTTGTGAGATGTTACTTCACTGTTACTAGAAAGGCTATAACAAAGAAAGACTGGTAATAACAAATGTTAGTGAGAATATGAAAAGATTAGGTCCTTCATATATAATAACTGTTAACAATATAAAAAGTCCACCTACTTTAGAAAACAATCTGGTGATTCTTGAAGGACTAAACATAGAAACAATATATAATCTAGAAAATCCACTTATGTATATCAAAGAACAATAAAAATATATGTCTATGTAAAAATTTTTAAGTGAATATTTATAGCAATAGTATATGTTACTGTTGTTGTTTGATGCCGTCGAGTCGTAGACCACTCATAGCGACCCTATGAACGAACAGCCTGAGCACTGTTTGTGCATAGAGTTTCCGGAGGCAAGCCATTTTGGAAGTGGATGCTGCTCCTGCTTCCAGGCTTGATTTAGTTGGGAAGCTCCAGCCATCACTGACCACCATGGGTACCCATTACCATGATTGGCACATCACTGTCACAGTCTTCACAGGGACATAATTCTTGGAAATGTGGAGGGTCAGTGAAAGAGATGAAGACCCTCAACAAGATGGACTGACACAGTGACTGCAGCAATGAGCTCAAATGTGTTCTAGATGATGAGGACTGCACAGGATAGGGCAGAGTTTAGATCTACTGTTCATAGGGTTACTATGAGTTGTACTCCACTCGAAGGCTCCTAACAACAACATACTCATTAAGTGGATGGTCAATCCTTCTTCCTAGTCTGTCTTAATCTGAGAACTTTGCTTTAGTATAGCATCTGACAGACAAGGGCTGTACACATGACAGACAGCAGATGATAAGCAAAGAAACACATACATATCTAAGGTATTAAGAGCAGCAACATGCACAACAGTCCACCATTACAAGGGACTGACAAACAAGATCAAACCCAAACAAACAGGAAACGTATAGATGTCATGGCACAAATGGCAAGGTTCCCTCAGCAAGATGAAGTCCAGGAATTTGACTGACATTCATCACTCTCATTCTTTCCCTGAGTGAGGCAGGGGCTTAAGGTGAAGTGGAGTTTGGAAGGGATCCATATTTGATCCATATTCCCAAGAAAGTGATCCATCAGAATGTGAAAACTATCAAATAATATATATAGGCAAAATATTGCTGAAAATAATCCAAAAATGGCCAGAACAGTATGCAGACTGCTAGAAGTTCAGGCTGAATTTAGAAGAGGCTGTGGCACAGGGATATCATTGCTGATGTCAGATAGATCTTAGCAAAAAGCAGAGGATACCAAAAGAATGTCTATTTTTGTTTTGTTAACTATGCAAAGTCATTTGATTGTGTGGAGCATAATAAACTGTGATTAACATTGAGAAGAATGGGAATCCCAGAACATTTCATTATGTTCATGTGAAACTTGCATCTAGACTGAGAAGCTATTATCCCAACAGACTAAGGGAATACTGCATGGCTTAAAATAAAAAAAGGAGTGTGACAGGGTTGTATCCTTTCTCCATATGTATTCAATCTGTATGCTCAGCAAATCATCCAAGAAATTTGACTCTGTGAAGAAGAATGTGACATCAGGATAGGAGAGAGATTCGTCAATAACCCTTGTTATGCAGATAACACAACCTTGGTTGCTGAAAGTGAGGAGGACATGAAGAGCTTGCTGCAATAAATCAAAGACTACAGCCTTTGATGTGGATGACATGTTAACATTAAGAAGACAAAAATCCTTGCCATCATGTTGATACACTGCATTATGATAGATGGAGAAAAGACTGAAATTGTAGATTATTTTTTCTTACTGGAATCCATAATTAACACCCTTGGTAGGAGCAGTTAAGAAATCAAAATACATGTTGCAAAGATAAAGTCTGCTGTCAGGGACCTCTCCAAAGTACTGAAGAACAATGATGTCAGTTAAAAGACTAAGGTGTGCCAGATCCAAGCCACGATATTTTCAATCTTGTGTATGTATCTAAAAGTGAGATAATATGTGAAGATTACAGAAAAATAATTGATGCCTTTGAATTGTATTGAAGTATTGAATATCCCATGGACTGCCAAAGAACAAGCAAATCTATATTGGAGAAAGTACAACCAGGGTAATCCTTTAGAGTCATAGATGATGGAACTTCATTTCACATGCTTTCAGGAGGGGTCAGTCTTTGAATAAAAGACATCATGCTATAAGCAAAGTGTAAGGTCATTGAAAGAGAGGAAGGCTCTTGATGGATGGATTGACACAGCGACTATACAATGGCTTTGAGCATGAGGGCAACTGTGACGATGGGACTGGATAGTACAAAATTCAGATCTGTTTCTTATAAGGTCACTGTGAGTTGTAGTGGACTCAAGAACCCCTAACAACTTTAATTTCATTATGATTTACAAATCAGCACAGAAAAAAGGGATCATTCTTTTGACTTTGAATCAAGCTGCAAGTGGTTCTGTTTTATCCCACCTGAAAGGACAATTTACAGTGGCAGGCGACATTTCTGGTTTTTGCAACAAGAGAATGCTGAAAGTGCCTGGTATGTAAATGTAGCACAACTCACAGTACAGCCCTCACAGTAAAACAAAGAAGTCAAGGTCTGGTCAAACTGTCCATAGAGCCAAGGTTGAGAAACCTTGAGGATAAATCTCATGTCCTCCATGTCATAGAACTAGAAGAATTAGTAAAGTAGCTTGTATCTCCTTCACCTGTTCACTATTTCCCATTATGCTTCCAGGACTCTGCTAATGAGAAATTTTCTATCATTTAAAGACATGATTTCAAGTGCTCTACGTATATGTGAAAGTTGGACAGTGAATAAGAAAGACTGAAGCAGAATGGATGCCTTTGAATTATGTTGGCAGAGAATATTGATTATATCATGGGCTCCTTTAAGAACCAACCTTAGAAGAAGTACAGCCAGAATGTTCCTTAGTGAGAGTCTCACATGCTTTGGACAAGTTCTTAGGAAGGACTGGTCTCTAGAGAAAATATCATGCTCAGAATTTTAGAGGATTAATGAAAGAGACCCTTAAAGATGTGGACTGATACAGTGCCTGCAACAATAGAGTTAAGGGCAGCAGAGATTGTGAGACTGACATAGGATTGGGCAGAGTTTGTATAACGTCACAATGAACTGTGCTGACTTAATGGCACCTAACAACAACAACATCAGATCTTATGAAATTTCTATTAAAAGAACCTATACACCAAACAATTAACAAACTGAGCTGTTGTTAGTGTGAATGATATTTTTTCCCTATCATCTATCAGCTTGCAGAGTTTTATTCAATTGTGTATCATGTCATTTAGGTAATATTATATCAAATGCTTTTTATATTGTGTTAGATCTGTTCTAAATTCCCTCATGATGTTTATGT